CAACCTCCAGCTCCTGGGCTCAAGCGAGTCTCCTGCCTCAGCCTCCCAAGTAGCTGGGACCACAGGTGCCCGCCACAACGCCTGGCCATTTTTTTTTTGGTTGCAGCCATCATTGTTGTTTGGTGGGCCCAGGCTGGGTATTCGAACCCGCCAACTTAGGTGTATGTGGCTGGCGCCTTAGCCGCTTGAGCCACAGGCACCGAGCCGTGATCATCTCATTGATCTGCATGGGAATGTGTGGTGGCTTCAGAGCTCACTGTGTTCCCTCCCTCACTGCCCCAGTGGTTCCTGCAGAATGTGGAATGCAGTGCTCATGGCAGACAACGATAACTGAGCTGTCCATCTAGCAACAAAGCCTGCCTTTGCAAAGCCCTAGACAGTAGGTGTTTGTGATTCTTTGCACACTAAGCATTCACTTTAACTGAGAAGTTAAATGCCACAAGCTTAACCTCTGAAATCAACTGAACTGAGGGGAAACCTGCCTAGTCTCCGGGGAGGCTAGCTCTAAACACAGACAGACATACCACACGGGGCCATCAAATGAGGTCTGTGAACATCCAGTAAGCAACTGTGTCCTGCCCTGAGTGACCTGCTGGGGGGTCGGGGACAACAGCACACTAGGTGGGCTGGGCATCCCTGGACACAGCACAGCACACCTGGGAGGCAGTACCTGAAGTAGTCAAAGGCAGTGGAGTAGATCTTCTCACGAAGCACGTTGCGGATGGTTGCATTTGGAACCACATCGGCATGTAGGAGGGACAGCCCGAGGGTCAGCAGTCTGAAAGATGCCCCAGGACCACGTCAGGGTGGGAACCCTGGTTGAGGGCTGAGCCTGAGGGGACCCTGGGCAGTCTCTAGAGGACACTGGACAGGAGATTACTAGGCAGATTTCTTCTATCCAAAAGGTCGCTGGAAAGGTTTTTTTAAAAACTTTACTTCTTTTGGGAGAAAACTAAACAATCTTCGTCTTAACGCGCCTGGACCAGAAACTTGAGTCTCACAAACTATTTGCACATTATTCCCTGAGGAACAGTCACCTGCAGGTGCGATGAACTCAGAGCACTTAAGTTTGGAAATTTATTAAGCACCTGCTTTTATCAGGCCAGACCCTGAGCAAGGGGTGAGGGGCAGCTGGGAAGCCAGATCTGTACAGGGAGATCAAAAGCCCTACTGGCAGGAGACTGACACCACTACCCATAGAGCTAAGATGCCACATAAACCCCAGAGCAGAGTGATCCCGACCCAGTGGGAGCTACTCTCCCTGAAGTATAGACCCCAGCGGATGAGAGAGGTTTGGAAGGCCTGGCAGTAAGATGGGCCCTAACAGAGAAGAAGCTTCTTGTTTGGCAGAAACAGGGTGAGAGAGTCTGGGGGGAGTGGCTGTTTGGAGCCTTAGGGCCAAGTGGACAGTCAGGTTGGGCCTGGATTAGCACAGGAGGGCAGAGTGTAAGGAGACACCATGGAGTGCCTTCAGAGGTACCGTCCTACATGATTGCATCTGAGCTGTGGGGACAGATTGCAGCATTGAGTGGCAGTCACAGCGAGGAACTGGCCAGTCTGAGTGAGAGCAGCAAGGGAGCACAGAGGCTATGGGCATGAAAGGAAGTGACAGAGGCTGTACACACTCAAAGGAGAACCAGAAGTATTTGTGTTCAGTTACTCAAGGGGGGTAGAGGGCAGAGAGATGTCCCAGAAGACAGGAGGGAGTCCAAGAGGAAGTCAGGCTGTGGATAGGCAATGACTCTGCATTCACTGGTGAGGCCCTTGACCCTAGGTCAGGGCTGTGCATCTACAGACAGTGTTGCAGCCAGTCTGTGTAAGCACAGGGACCAAGGGATGGGTACTTGCTCATCTCTGACAGTAACACACAGCTGGGACCGTCCAGAGAGGATTGTTTCCTGGTAATTAATTCCTTTTTTTTTTTTTTTTTTTGAGACAGAGCCTCAAGCTGTTCCCTGGGTAGAGTGGCGTGGCATCACAGCTCACAGCAACCTCCAACTCCTGGGCTCAAGCGAGTCTCCTGCCTCGGCCTCCCAAATAGCTGGGACCACAGGTGCCCGCCACAACACCCGGCTTTTTTGGTTGCAGCTGTCATTGTTTGGCGCGCCTGGGCTGGATTCGAACCCGCCACCTTAGGTGTATGTGGCTGGCGGCTTAGCCACTTGAGCCATAGGCGCTAAGCCTGATAATTAATTCCTATTGTACTTTATAAAAGTACAGGCCCATGACTGATTAGAAATTAATAGAGAACTGGTTTAATCTCTGTGGCTAGTTTGAGAGATGCAGGGCCAGGAGGTGGCCAGTGGGCTTGGGACAGGAGGGGCAGGCAGAGCAGGTGCAGGCATGAGGACCTGCTGGGTGGGGGACCAGGCCCTGTACAGCGGTCAGCAGAGGCCAGGTCCCAAGGAGAACGGCTAGACTAAAGGCGGCAGAAAGCAGGGGAGAAGTTCATAGTCTTGATTCAGTTAGGAAGGGTGCCTTTGATAAGCTCTTCCCCCGTCATTCCAGAAGCAAACAGCTCACTGAAATCTGTTCTACACTCTATGGAAGTGCTGTGACCCCCTCACCCCCATACACACCCCACGCCACACCCAGGGAGGAGAGCCCTCACTTGAAGCGGGGCCCAATGGCTGCCACATGCCGGTTCATGCTGCCCTTGGCCCCACCGATATTCAGGGATAGGGAGCGCTGCAGCAGGCTGGAAAAGATCTCCACTTGGTCAGAGCTGCAGTACTTGGCGATCTCAAACCGTTGTACCAGGAACTGAGCAAGAAGGAAAACGTGCTGTGTTGATGGGGCCAGGTCTGCCCAGCCCAGGGCCAGTGAGGCCAGCTGAGGGACTCTGGGCTGACTGAACGGGCTAGGGGATGGGCTGGAACAATCACCCCCCTCCTCAGGTCAGGCAGTCTGAAATCGTGGGCTGCCTTCCTGACCCTGGCTTGCTGGCTCTCACCACTCCAGAAGCAGCCCTGGCTCCCTGGGCCACATGGTAGATAGAGCTCCGCAGAGCCTTGGTGGGGGGCAGGGGTGTTAGGTACGTACGTCAATCCAGATGTAGTGGGGGCTCACTTCAGGGGGACATGGTTTGGGCTGGCTTGCTTCTGACGCAGCCAGTGGGTCTGCCTCCTTTATCTCAGCAGAAAACAGGCCAAACTTCTGTTCCACTGTCATGTGCCAGGCCCCTGCCATCTCCCGCATGAACTGCAAGCACAGAGCAAACGTTGGCTCCTCTGCCAAGTGCAAAGACAGGGTCACTGGGGGCTTTTTGAGACAGGGTCCTACTGTTTCCCACGCTGGCAGGCTGCAGTACAGTGGTACAGTGGGGTCATCAAAACTCACTGCAAGCTCAAGCTGCTGGCTTAAAGTAATCCTGCTACTTTGGCTTCTCAAAGTGCTGAGATTACAGGTGTGAGGCAGTGCATCTGGCCTATTTTTTTTTTTTTTACCTATAAAAGAAATAATATATGTTCACTGAATAAAATTTAGAAATGGAGGAAAATATGAAGAAAAAAATTAAGCTCTCCAGTGGCCCCACTTCCCAGGGACATTCACATTAGTGTGTGCTGTGTTTGCTTTCAGCCATTCCAGGCCAAATTTCTGTTTGTCCTAGTCCGTGGTGTAGGCAGTGAGGTGAGGTGTAGGGTGTGAGACAGCACCACACCTGTGACGTGCCCAATGCTGTGGGGCCCCTCACTGGGCACTGTTCTAATAGTCCTAAGGCACCCTATGATGGTGAGGCTGGGGCTGCCTGCTTGGGCTCCAGAGCCAGCCCTGACTCCCCACCTGCAGACCTTTCACCCTGTTAATCAGCTGGGGACAGCCCTGCGGGTGCCTGCGGCTGTGTGGGCCAGGCACAGGGACTGTGGTCAGCCATGCTCAGCTGGGCCCCTTCCATGGGGTGCTGTGAAGGGTACCCAGAGGTAGCAGACAGTGGTGTCTGGAAGACACACTGGTGGTGGAGAGTAAGGTGTACAGCTCACACTTGGAAAGCCCCTACAGCTTCTGGGTGACTTTACACAGAGATCAGAAGGCAGCACCCTAATTAGTAGGGTTTCTATCTCTCTGTTGGCCCCCAAATGCCAGCTTCTACAAGGGCTATAAACACCCATGCAGAGGGGCAATGCAGCCTGGTGCATGCAGCAGATGCCCTATCTCCCTTCCTCTCCCCTCCCCTCCTGCCTTTCCAGTCTCAGTGTTCCCGGCCAACTGGGGTGGCTATGGCTCTCACCAGCACTGATGAGCCAGGGGAAGTTAGTGGGTGAGCCCTAGGAACCAACACCAGGGCAGCTTTGTGAGGGCAGGGCAGCTGGCCTCAGCTTTGCCTTTTCTGCCCTTGCCTTCCTTCTGGGAAGCACAGAAGCCACCTGGAGGCTGTGAGGGAGAACACAAAGGCCATACCCGTACAGGATGGCCAGTAGTGGACCACAGCAATGAGCTGTCCATGTGGCAAGGAGGAGGTATTCCTGGGGGATAGGGCAGTGCAGCCTGCTTTCTATTTCCTGTTAATAGGAGATGAAGAAGGAACAAAAAAGTGGAGGGAGAAAAAAAACCCCAAACTGACAGGGCAGAGGAGCCATACTCCCACCCGTTTGTTCAACAACCTCCTCCTGGAGGCCACCTCTGTGGCCCTGAGATGAAGCTGTGAACAAAGACAAACATAACCAGAGTCCACAGCGGGGCCCACAGATGAGAAATAAGCAAGGGATACTGATGAAGTCTAACGAGAAATAGCATGTGGCATTTTAGACGGATGGCCAGAGAAAGCTGGGGTTAGAGGGAACATCTAGGATGAAAGCTGAGGGAAAGACACAGGAGTGAAGGTGTAGCTGCGCTGGAGGAGGAAACAGGGAGCATGGCCTGATGGGGGAACAGCCCAAGAGGGCAGAGGGCACCACACCCCAGCATGACCCCAGAAGGGCAAGTGACAGGAGCAGACGGGGCTGAGGTCACGGTAAGGGGATTTCCAGGTTGCAGAAACCAGTCTTTCTCCTGGCCTGGGGCAGGGTACTGACAGATTTGCTCTGGGCTCCATGGGCTTGCTTCTAGAATTAGCCTGGAGAAGAGGGAGAGGTGCAAGTGGGAGCGGGAGGCCAAGCCAGAGGACAGCACCTGGGATGCTGAAAGTGGTCAAATTCTGGATATGGTACTTTAAAAGGTAGAAAGCTGAAGCTGGCAGGATTGGCTGTGGGTCACTTGTGAGACTGCACAGAAAGGGAAAAGGGGGTCAAAGGTGGTGCAGGGGCTCTGTCTGAGAAGACCTGATGCAGTGTTCTGACACCTGCGGCCACGGAGCTCCTCTGATAAAGTCAGCCTTACTATCTTTAAAAAAAAAAAGATTTTGATCTGAGCAGAGGGAGAAATCATGCTGGCACTTACAGCCATGGCAGGGTGGGGGTGGCAGGGATCCGGGGATGCTGATCAGTTAACGGCGACATGCTTAGACCTGGGGTGTCGGAACTGGGGCAAGGGAAGGGGAACCCTGGAGCACACAGGAGCTTAGAGGGCCCCATTGAGCTCAGAAGCTCCCTTTATTCAGGGTGATGAAAGGGTTAAACGTTGCAAAGGCCAATAGTCTCTGGAAAAGGAGGAGCAGTTTCTGAGACCCAAAGCCCTGCAGGAGGTGGGAGTAGCCTTCCTTGGACTAAACTGTACCCACCAGCTAGGACCTGCAGGATGAGGCCTATGCCCTGGGCCAGAGAGGGAAAAAGAGCACCAGACTAGGGATGTGCAGAAGGGAACACCACCCGTCCCTGTGAAGTGGGAACAACAGCTACAAACTCCTACTCCAAGGACTCACTGGGGTTTGAGACTCCACAAAGCAGAGCTGCATCCTTGTAGTCACAGTAGTGATGAATCCTGGGGCTTCCAAAGGAGCCTAAGAGGAGGGCCACCCTTGCCTCCTGAGCAGTAGGGAATTCCACTGAGAGAGATGAAGGTTCAGGCACATATGTGCCTGCTGGCAGGAAAGGGGAAGGTATGAGGGGCTGACAGGCTCCATGGGGGGTGATGCTTCTACTGTGGCTGTCTGCATTTTATACAAGGTTCAGTGTTGCTGGTCCTACCAACTAAACACTCACAGCCACCAGGTTAATATGACAAACACTCATACCTCCAGTCAGTTTTGAAAACTCCGAGAGAATTTCTAATAAACAAAGAGGTTCCCACTGGTAATCCTAACACTCTGGGAGGCTGAAGTGGGCATGATCACCTGAGCTTAAAAGTTTGAGACCAGCCTGAGAGTGAGACCCTGTCTTTACTAAAAACAGGAAAAAATTAGTGTGGTAGCTCCCGCCTGTAATACCAGCACTCTGGGAGGCTGAGGTGTGGTGTAGGGAAGGCTGATTACCTGAGCTTAGGAGTTTGAGACTAGCCTGAGCAAGAGTGAGACAAAAAATAGGAAAAAAATTAGCCAGGTGCTGTGCTGGGTGCCTATAGTCCCAGTTACTCAGGAGCCTGAGGAAAGAGGATCACTTAAGCCTAAGGGTTTGAGGTTGCTGTGACCTATGAAGCCATGGCACTCTACCCAGGGCAATAGAGTGAGACTTGGTCTCAAAACAAAACTAGAGGCTCAGTGCCTGTGGCTCAGGTGGCTAAGGCGCTAGCCACATACACCTAAGGTAGTGGGTTCGAATCCAGCCTGGGCCTACCAAACAACAATGATGGCTGCAACCAAAAAAAAAAAAAAAAGAATCAGGAGTTATGGCGGGCACCCGTGGTCCCAGCTACTTGGGAGGAGGCAGCAGGAGACTCGCTTGAGCCCAGGAGTTAGAGGTTGCTGTGAGTTGTGATGCCACAGCACTCTATCCAGCGGGACAGCTTGAGTCTCTGTCTCAAAAAAAAAAAAACCAAAAAAACAAAAAAAAAAAACAAAAACAAAACTAGACAAAGAACTTCAACAGTTCTAAAATCAGTCCTTAAAGACAGAGCACTGATGCCGAGGCCTGTAACACCCTGAGTATAAGACTTCCCAGAACCAGTTCCTCCCACAACCAGACAGTCCCAGGGTGTGAGGGCAACTTAGACTATCAGCCTGGACCTCAAAGCATGGGCCAGACAGGCAGGTGAGAGCCAGATCCATACAGTGCCCTGCATAGGCCCAGCACATGGCAGGATCAGAGCAAGTTACCAGGTACTAGTGCAGCCCTCACTCATTTACTTTGGGTCACAAATCTGAGCACCATATAAGGGTTTACAGGCTTTTCTCATCTCAGTGGAATTAAGGACCCAGACCTTTACAAGGAGGCCATGGCCCCCACAATGAGATGTGACCAGCAGACTTACTACCTCTCTATCTTCTCAAGAATGCAAAAAAAGAGGCCAGGTAAGGTGGCTCACACCTGTAATCCCAGCACTCTGGCAGGCCGAGGTAGGTGGATTGCCTGAGTTCACAGGTTCGAGAACAGCCTGAGCCAGGGTAAGACCTCGTCTCTAAAAATAGCTGGATGCTGTGGCGGGCACTTGTAGTCTCACCTACTTGGGAGGCTGAGGCAAGAGAATTGCTTGAGTCTGAGAGTTTGAGTTTGTTGTGAGCTATGATACCATAGTACTCTACTGAGGGTGCCAAAGTGAGATTCCATCTCAAAAAAAAAAAAAAAAATGCAAGAAAAGACATTAAGATGCCACCAGATTGGCTCGGCACCTGTGGCTCAAGTGGGTAAGGTGCCAGCCACATACACCTAAGGTGGCGAGTTCGAATCCAGCCCAGGCCCACCAAACAACAATGACGGCTGCAACCAAACAAAAAATAACCAGGCGCTGTGGCGGGTGCCTGTGGTCCCAGCTACTTGTGAGGCTGAGGCAGGAGACTCGCTTGAGCCCAGGAGTTGGAGGTTGCTGTGAGCAGTGAAGCCATGGCACTCTACCCAGGGGAACAGCTTGAGGCTCTGTCTCAAAAAAAATAAAAAAAGATGCCACCAGATTGCTGGAGTTATAGATGATTCTTGTTTTTTTCATTCATCATGAGCAAATGTATGTTTTTTTCCTTGAGTCTTGCTCGGCTAGAGTATAGTGGCATCAACATAGCTCACTGCAACCCCAAACTCCTGAACTCAAGTGATGCTTTTGGCTCACCCTCCTGAATGGCTAGGAGTATACACAGGTATGTACCACCATGCCTGGCCGATTTTTCTATCTTTTATAAAGATGGGGATCTTGCTTTTCCTTAGGCTGGTCTCGAACTCTTGACCTTAAGCAATCCTCCTGCCTTCGCCTCCCAGCATGCTGGAATTACAGGTGTGAACCACTATTGTGGGCCATATATTGTTTTTATAATAGAAAAAAAATTAAAAAACAGAATGCAACAGGCTTGGCGCCTGTAGTACAGTGGTTATGGTGCCAGCCACATATACCAAGGCTGGTGGGTTTGAACCCAGCCTAGGCCAGCTAAGCAACAATGACAACTGCAACAGAAAAATAGCTGAGCACTGAGGCAGACACCTGTAGTCCCAGCTACTTGGGAGGCTGAGGCAAGAGAATTGCTTAAGCCCAACAGTTTGAGGTTGTTGCAAGCTGTGATGCCACGGTACTCTACTGAGGGCAACATAGTAAGATTCTGTCTCAAAACAACAACAACAACAACAACAAACCTCCAACAGAATGCAACAATACGAAAGTCACAGAAAGATGAGAAGCCTGCCCACCTCTGGGCATTGTTGGGCCTGCACAGTTCAGGTCCTTGTGGAGGAAGAGATGGGGACTGAAGACACAGGTGACCAGGAGCTGCCAGGGCCAGCGCAATGTCTGGGCATGGGTAGGTGGAAAAGCCTGCTACAGGCTGAGGGACCTGCAGCCAGTCAGGCCACTGGTGATGACAGGGGTGGGACGTCACCTGCTTGTGTATGTTTGGGATTTTTCGTAATAAATTTTTTTAAAAAGGCTTTTGAAACTTTATCTCTACCAAAACTAGGGACAATTAGCTAGGTGTGATAGTGCATGACTATAGTCCCAGCTACTAAGGAGGCTGAGGCTAAGGACTGCTTAAGCCCAGAAGTTCAAGGTCACTGTGAACTATGACTGTGCCATTGCAATCTGCATTCCAGCCTGGACAGCAGAGCAAGAGCCTGTCTCAAGAAAATAAAAAAAAGGAGAACTAAAGATGATGGAATTTATTTCCAGCAGATCTGAATTAGTATAGAAAGTGCTAAAGGAAATTCTTTGTCTGAAAAGAACTGAAAATTTGGATCTACTACAGGAAGACTTAAAGAATATAATGAGAAATGTTTGGCTAAGTTTATAAGGCTTTAAAAAAACACATTCTTTAATTTCCTTGAAAGACTTTTGACTTTTAAAATAAAATTAACATTATAAGGTATAACACAGGCCAGGCTCAGTGGCTAACACCTGTAATCCTAGCACTACTCTGGGAGGCCAAGGCAGCAGGGTGGGGGAGAAGGAGCGGGGAATCACCGAGTTCAGAAGTTTGAGACCAGCCTGAGCAAGAATGAGATCCCATCTCTACTAAAAATAGAAAAATTAGCTGGGTATTCTGACAGAGGCTAATTAATGCAAAAGGATCACTTGAGCCCAAGAGCATGAGGCTGTTGTGAGCTATTGGTAGTTGCACTCTATCCAGGGCGACAGTAAGACTCTGTCTCAAAAACAAACAAACAAACAAACAAACAGTGTAATACATGTAATAGTAAAACAGGTGAAAACATCCACAAAGGATGGGAGAGAGAAAGTGGGTGCATACAATGGCAGTGTGTGTATCTACTAGCCATGGTGTCAAATGTCTCTGCAGGATCCTGTCCCTGCAGTCACAGCAGCAGTCAGCATCTACTGAGAGCTCAGGAGGCCACAGGTGCCCTTGCTGCGATTCTTTGTGTGCAGATGAGGAGCACTGCTCTGGAGGCAGAGCCCTGCAGGCTGAAGCAAGACTTCCACAGTGCACACTTGTGAGGAGAGCTGGCTGAGAAGCCAGTGCCCACCTCAGTTCCACAGGGAAAGGATTCAAGAACTACTGGCTGAGCTCCAGGTGCCTGGTACCTTTCTCTTCTGAGAGGCAGGGCTGGGTGTGGCTCCCTGACTAGATAATCTCTCACACAAGGCCACTGGACAAAATGTTTCCTTAGACTCCTAAAAAGCCTGAATGATATGAACCTCAAGTGGTTATAAAATACAAGGAAAATGTGAGGTATTACTATTACTGTTACCACCTTCCACCTGGAGCATTCTATCTCTGAAAGTATTCCAGTTCCCCTGAGGGAAGAAGAAAAACAAAACACCCCTTCTGACTAATATCAAGAGATCTTAAGGAATACAGGAAAGAAAAAAGTATGTTAAATTCCCTGCTACTTTGAAAGTTAACAGGATTTTTGAAAATTAAGATGGCTCGTAGGTGTTCATCCAATCAGCCTAAGTGTTCTCATGTTCTTAGGTGTTTATCCAGGGAGCTGGAAGGTGAGTGTAACCCTCTCTGTGGACATACTGAAGTAACAACTCCAGAAATACAGATGCAGGCAAAAGGGACTGATCTCAAAGTTAACAGGTCAAGGAAAATGTCCTTATGGACAAACACAGCTGCTCTCCAGCAGGTCCCTGTTAACAGGTGTTCAAAAGGCAGGGTCTTCCAGCTTCAGTAGAGAAATGGCTCCCCCTACTGAGCTTTAGAAAAATAAAAGGTTCTGGGCACCACTGTGATGCTATTCACTCCCCTTCTTTTCTCTGTGACTGCCAGGTATGAATAACATAATCTAAAAGGAGACTGAAGCTTGAGAGGATGGGGTGGGGTGGGGGTGCTGCTTGGGTCTCCATGCTCACTGGTGGCAGCACCAGGGCAGCCTGTTCCCTTCTTGTCCCGTCCCTCCCTCAGAGACAACCCAAGGTCAGTGTCCTACCGGCACTTCCACTCCATTCTTGCCGGCCAGCAGCCACTCCCAACAGGCCAGGGCCGTCTCCATGCCGTGCTCATTGAACATCCGGAGGGGACCCCAACACAGATGGTGGAGGAGCTGGGGATCACAATCTGGAACCAAAGACATGTTGTTTAGAGGCCTCCAACATTCACTGAATCAAACACATTTCACCTAGTTCAACAAAGAGTCTGCACCAGCTGGGGCCAATGATGGTTTTATTTTATTTTATTTTTTTGAGACAGAGCCTCATGCTGTCCCCCTGGGTAGAGTGCCGTGGCATCACAGCTCACAGCAATCTCCAACTCCTGGGCTCAAGTGAGTCTCCTGCCTCAGCCTCCCGAGTAGCTGGGACCACAGGTGCCCGCCACAACGCTTGGCCATTTTTTGGTTGCAGCCGTCATTGTTGTTTGGTGGGCCCGGGCTGGATTCAAACCCGCCACCTTAGGTGTATGTGGCTGGCACTTTAGCCACTTGAGCCACAGGCGCTGAGCCAATGATGGTTTTTTATTTACTTTTCACCCATAAAAGATGTTCCAGAGATCTCTAGTGGGGGAGGTCTGCTCATTCTCTGGGCAGGACTCCAGCTGACTACAAATCATGGAGGCAAACATTCTTTTAGAGACAAGCCAGAATTCATTCCCTCTGCCTCGTGTGTTACCTCTGCTGCTAATGAGCATCGCAGTCAGCTTGAACATGGCCTGTGTGTACTGCTGAGGACTGCTTCGGTCTAAAGCTGAATTCAGGTCCTGTACCATCATCTTATTCAGATCAGACATATGGCCTGTGGCGCCTGAAAACCGGATCATCCCATACACCTGCAAGGAGGACGCACATCAGCAGCTACACACAATCTAGGCAACCTGGACAAGGACCTGGCAGCCACTCAACTACACCTGTGGCAGGCTTGGCACGTGCCTCACTGTCCCCAACTAAAGCTCACTTATGCAGAGGCACGCTCATTTCAGAGATGGACCACTGCTCACAGCTTTTACCTAGAAAACTTCTCTTCTAGAAATGCATGTTGGTGCTACCACCATTATAAATATTCCTTGAGGGTGGTGATGTTTCTTGTGTTTGGACCTGGCACCGAGCCCAGGGTCTGACCCAGGCAGGACTGTATGAACGTGAGGTAGACAAATAAGTTTCCTTTTAGACTCAATGACTCAAACAACAAGATCAGCCTCACTATGTTTTTGGAGACTGAGCCACACCCTGTTGCCCTGGCTAGAGTGCCATGGCATCAGCCTAGCTCGCATCAACCTCAAACTCCTGGGCTCAAGTGACCCTCTTGCCTCAGCCTTTCGAGTAGCTGGGACCACAGGCACCTGCCACAACACTTGGCTATTTTTAGAGATGGGGACTCACTCTTGCTTAGGCTGGTCTCGAATTCTTGAGCTCAAGCAATCCACCTCCTTCAGCCTCCCAGAGTGCTGGGATTACAGGCATGAGCCACTGGGCTTGACCCCAGCCTTGCTATTTTTAAAGTTAGATATAATCTTTTTTTTCCCAAGAAAGTGGTTGGTTTCTTATTCACAAGACTTGCCTGTAGAGATTTGATTACTTACAAGAATAAAACTAATCCCCAAAGACAGAATTCCCTTCCCAACACTCTGGGGTATTCAAAACAACACGGAGCAGGCTCCAATGGTTGACTTCAGACAACTGAGCCTGTGTGATCAGCGGCTGCTGTGGGGAGTATGGGTGCCTTGCTGAGGTGCCCAAGGGAGAGCGGCCACTGGAATAAGCAAGTGGCAGAGTGCTCTGGGGGAAGCTAACCCCCACTCAGTCCAGCACCGACAGGCTTGTAGATTTGCCAAGGACTGTAGGAATGGTGTAGACTAGCTTCTTAGTTTATGAGTGAGGAAGAAAGGGCCCAGAGAGATGGAGCAACTGATTAAGCTGGAATTAACTGTGGCGTGGTGAATGAGAGCCCTCAACATGGAGCTGGACGATGTGGTTCCCAACTCTGCTCTGCCTGTGTGACTTTGGCATGTTACTTAATCTCAGGAGCCCTAGTTTATCTGTGAAACTGGAATAACTCAGTTAGTGCATACATCTCACTCAGGGCCCAGGATATGTTGCTACCATTTAATATCAGAGATCATCTAGAATGTGCTCATGAGTTCCAGGGCCCCATGACCTTCAAGTCCACCTAAAGTAAGTAAATGCCGTATCACCCAGAGGCCTTCTTCATTTCCACTGGGAAGGAACCAGCTCGTATCAAAATGAGAAGACACTAGGCCAAGGGAAATACCTCGCCTGCGTAGCGGTTGCGCAAATTCAGGGATGCCATGAAGTTAGAGTAATCTTTCTTCACACAGGCTGGACGCTCAGTTAGCTGGGTTGCCTACGGACAAGTAACCACAATTATTTCAGACTATTGTAACACAATCCTTTTTCCATGTTTACCATGGCTAAACCAAAGTCCAATTAAAAAGTCAAGCTCAGATCTGGAGGTTACTAAAAATTTTTGGTGCTGGCAAGTTAATAAAACAAAGTTGTTTTTTGTTTTTTTTTTTTGCAGTTTTTGGCCAGGGCTGGGTTTGAACCCACCACCTCCGGCATATGTGGCCAGCGCCCTACTCCTTAAGCCACAGGTGCTGCCTAAAACAAAGTTTTTTAGAACACCCTCTAGTCTGTTATGTCTCAGGGGAGAAATTTTTTCAAAATTTTGATAGACGCAGTGGTTCTGGAAGGCAGTCTGTACTATAAGTGAACAGGACTTTGCAAGAAAAAGAATCCCTAGATTATGGTGAGAATGGTCTTAATCTGCAATGGAAACGTAAAAGTTGGTGCGTGTGATCTGTAAATGTCCCTTATAGATGGTACAGGCTGGCTGAAGGTGACAGCCAGCTCTTAAGCATCAGCTGGTTGCTCCTCAGTCTAATGGTTTAAGACAGAAAGGGATATGCCCTGAGTACAAAGGCAACCCCACAGGATAGGAGAAAAGTATTTGCAAACCACACCCCCCATTCTTCTGCCTGAGCCTCAGCCTCCCAGCCCCGCCTCCTGCCCTCAAGGACCCAGGACCTCAGTGACACCCCTTCCCAGCCTAAGGGGGTTGCTGCTCCACAGGACGCTCAACATACCCCGAGCGTGGTGTTCTGCTTGTTGTAGCCGGCGAAGTGAAGGATGCTCTCAGTGGCCATGGCTAGCCCTGTGTGCTGGGACAGTCCTGACACCCAGTTCTGATGTTTGTTTAGATATTCCTGAAGCAGGGTAAAAACATGCTACTTCACTAAAAGGGGAAAATAAAACTTCATCATTGAAGGTGAGGGGAAGTGGAGCCAACACTGGATTTCTGTACTGGGCTACCCCTTGCTGACTGCGGGACTATGCCTAAGTTAAAGCCTCTCTACTGGTTCCTGCTCATCTGCAAACAAGGATGAGGGCTGATTCTCCAATGGCTGTCACCCAGTTGGTGCAGTGCTATGGTCAATGCGGGAGGCCCCTGTATTCCTTTAGCATGTCCTTGCTGAGCACCTGCTATTTGCCAAGAGCTGTATGAGCAGCTGGGGAAAGGCCCACAAGGCCTTGGTTCTGTTGCCAACAGGCAGGCAGTGCAATGAAGGCTACCACGCTCCCACTGCTGCACTCCTGCTGCCCAGCACAGCAAGATAGCAGGAGTGCAGACAAACACCTGAGTCCATCTGGCCACACAATGGCAAAAGAACATTTGGGCAAAGGACATCTGGCAGAGCCTGGGGTGTGAGGGAGACTTCCTGCCCTGGGGGCCTTAAGAGCTTAGCACCACAGGAGCACCAAGTATAGAGGCTATGCCAGAGACAGGCCAGGTAGGCCATTTCACACACAGCACTGGGCAAAGGTGCTTCTAGGGACCTTTTTTGCAGAAAAACATGAGGCTGTAAATGCAAATGTGCACTGATGAACTGGTTTCTGGGGAGGTCCTGGGAACACAAGATGCCCATCCATAGGCCCAGTGCGGTAAGGCGTGGCTACCGATCAAGTTTAAAGAAAAGTACACTGGCCAGACTTGCTATTAAAACTGGATTATTCTGATGTGGAAGATTCCAGAAAGACTGAGGCTGGAGGCAGGACAGGGAGGGGAGGCTGGGCGGCGAGAGCTGTGCAGAACTAGGGTGGGGGTTCAGAATTAATGGGCTGAAAGGGAGGGAGGAGGTGGGCCCGGGAGTGCCAAGGGGACACCAAGTGCACCATCAAGATCCTTTCAAGCCTTTCCATTTTCCACTTCCTCCTTAGGCCAGGCCCGCCTGAAATAGTTAGAGAATAAAAAGCTCTATTAGTCCCTTTTTTGTCCACTGAGACCTTCTAAGCATTAAAAGGGGCCTCCCCTCTTATGTGGCAGCATTGGGAGCAGAAGCTCTTTTCCTTTACCTCAGTGGAAGGAAATCAGATGTTAGTTGTATTAGAAACATCTAATTAAGAAACTACCATAGTCTGAATTCTAGTGTACAAATGAGAAAGCTAAAAGTTACAAGGCCCCACTCTGCCGTCCTCCCTGCTCAACCTCTCTGGGAAAGGAGAAACTTTACAGCTATCCTTGGCACAACCCATGGGTTCTTACCAAATGCATCCCAAACATTCTGGGTTCCTGGAGCTAGCTGCTCTATCCTTCCTGGATTTCACACAAACATTTGTAAACTGGCTTCATCTTAAAAAGTGTTGCTGAGGCCAACTTCACGAGTTCTCCTAATAGAACTGCTCTCTGTTAACCCAGATTTCTTCTAGTGACATGTAGAAGGAGGTCTTATCTTTGACCCCTGTTAAGGAGACTATCTTCTCGTATGCTGTAACATTTTTGTTCCCCTCGGCAAGATTATGACAGTCTATACAACAATGGCTCACCTGAGAGGCACTGGTGTTTATAAAGACTCCTCTGCATGTACTCGTTCTAAGATGGGCTTTAATGGGAAACAAGTGACTGACTCTGCCTCTGCTCCACCAGCCTCCAGCAAGCCCTGCCTGTGGGCACGGGTGAAGCCTGCACACATTCAGCCCTTGGAACTACTGCAGCCTGCCAGCCCTGTGCCCACCATGCTGCCTTTCCCCTCTCATGAGCAGCTCCCACGTCCTGCCACAGAGCTGGCACCTCACCTGTTTTGAGCGGTCAGAGTTCCTGGGTGCTGCCTTTCTCTTGTCCTGCCCAGCATACTTCCTCAGGGGCTCTAAACACAGAGCAGCCTCTGGGGTAGGGGGTCTACTATAGCCTCAGGCACTGGATCGATATCTCTGTTTATTCACATTAGTGCTGTTGTATTTTGAGTTGTCTGCATCTGCAGAAAGCTCTTTGGACAGCCTGAAGGAGCTTACTGAGATTGCATTTTGATGACTTTAAGAAAGTACCTGCAGGTGGGACTTGGTGACTGTGGGCGCCCACTTCATGGCCTCCTGTAGAATCATCCCACAGCGGGCCGCGAAGTCCTTCACAATGCTCTGGAAGAGGGTGAAAATACTTTTCAACAACCCAAGATCAGTTCATCAGGGCTGAACTGTGTCCCCCAAATCCCTATGTTGAGCTCAGTACCTTAGAATGGGAGTGCTTCTGGGATACAGAGGTGATTAAATCAAAAGGCAGTTAGGAGGGCTCTAATCCATTCTGACCAGTGTCCTTTTTTTTTTTTTTAAACACAGCCTCACTTTGTAGCCCTTGGTAGAGTGTTGTATCGTCATAGCTCACAGCAACCTCCAGCTCTTGGGCTTAAGCGATTCTCTTGCCTCAGCCTCCCAAGTAGCTGGGACTACAAGTGCCCGCCACAACGCCCAGCTATTTTTTTGTTGCAGTTTGGCTGGGGCAGGGTTTGAACCTGCCACTCTTGGTATGTGGGGTCAGCGCCCTACCCACTGAGCCACAGGTGCCGCCCTTGGCTGGTGTTCTGATGGGAACAGGAGATCTGGACACACAGAGAAGAGCATTTGAAGACATGGGAAGGAGGTGGCCAGCAGCAAGCCAACGACAAAGGCCTCAGGAGAAACCATCCCTGCTGACACCTTGATTGTGGATCTCAGCCCTCAGAACTAGGAGACCTATAATGTCTGTATTTTTTTTTTTTTTTGAGAGTTTCATTTTGTCACCCTCGGTAGAGTGCTGTTGCATAACAGCTCACAACAACCTCAAACTCCTGGGCTCAAGCGATTCTCTTGCCTAAGCCTCCAGAGTAGAGGGGACTACAGGTGCCCACCACAACACCCATCTAGTTTTAGAGATGGGGGGGGTCTCACTTTTGCTCAGGCTGGTTTTGAACTCCTGAATTCGGATAATCCACCCACCTTGGTCTCCCAGAGTGCTGGGATTCCAGGTGTGAGCCATCATACCTGGCCCATAATGTCTGTTCTTTAAGCCACCTGCTCTGTAGTTCTCTGCTACAGCAGCCCAGCAGACTAGTACAGGGATCAGGGTCTAGCCCCAAGATTCCCAGGGCAGGAACTTGCACACACTATGGCAGGCATCCTCAAACTATGGCCTGCGGGCCACATGCGGCCCACCTAGGACATTTATCCAGCCCATCGGGTGTTTTTGCTGACTGTCCTGCCTAGCAGCCGACTCGTCCCGGGGCCCGCAGTCCAGCCCTCCAACGATCTGAAGGACAGTGAACTAGCCCCCTGTTTAAAAAGTTTGAGGACCCTGCACTATGGTCTAGTTCCTACACAAGGCTGTGTGGCAGAAGCTATGTGAACAGCAGGTCCCAGGACCACACCACTGCTTGGGGGAACTCCTCACTGACTGTTGGTCTGGGTGGGAGGTCCTGAGTTAGGACGTGATCCAGCCGCAGCCTGGTGGAACTCTGAGTGGACTCAAGCTTTGGTCCTGCCAGAATAAGGGCTCTGAATTAGTGAGAAGATGCCTGGGACATCCTCCTCATTTGCCCATTTTAACATGGTAGAGCACAAGGCTAAAGGCATGTTCTGCTGCTGCCACAGTAAATGTGAGTACACCTCAGAGCAGTGCCGTCCTCCTGTAATCCTGCTTGTTCAATGCAGATGGGAGGGGCTACAAAGTGCTAGCTAAGAACCTTTCGCAGCTAAACTGAGAACACAGCTGAGAGTCAGCGTACTCAGCAGAACAGCTTGTCGGGGGGGTGGGGGAGCTGCCCTTGTACATAGCAAGGCCAGTCTTCTTGCTGCAGGAAGGGACCAACACACTCCCACCTGCTGGGGACTGGGTGACCTCATGTAGGCCAAGCACCTGCCCAGACAGTCAGGGATTGGTGAAGATGGCCCTTAATGCAGAGGACCACATGTGGCCTACCTCTCGGGCTTCATACGTGTCAGGAACTGTGATCCGGTAGGGGGCATCAGGAATGTCATAGTAAGGCTGGTCCTTGTGAATATCCTGCAGCAGAGTGAGACTTGCTCTTCCAAACTGCCAAGGTGCCACTACCAAGCCTCTAACATTGGGCAGGAGAATGTTGGCCACTTTTTCCCACCACCCATCCCATCTATGATGGGCCCCCAAACTTGCTGCAGCTTACTGGGGAAGGGCCCCAAATACGCTGCTTGTAGCATTAAGTCAGGTCCAGCGGAGCATGCCACAACACAGAGTGGTCAGTGGGTATGTGGGTCAGTCCTGGGTCACCCAGGGACACTCACAGCACTCAGTGACAGAGACAGGGTCTGCAGGATATCCAGCATGGTCTTCAGCACGGTCCCGCTCCAGAGCAAGTGGGGAAACCTGTGCCAAGAGCCAGTGTTCAAGGCCAGGAGCCAAACTTCCAGAGAAGGGGGACCTCAGTGGTGAGGCCCACCTCAGCTGCCTTCCCCTGGCCAGCGCAAGCCCACACCTGCTGCCAGCCAACTGAAGGTGCTCAGTCAGGTCTCTGGGGGCAGAAAGCCCACCATCCTCAGGCTTTCTGCAGCAAATACATGGGGTCTCATCAGAAATGTGCCCCAGACCCCTGCTAGTCCCATTCCTCGGGGTCAGATACCCCAAGTGTGTCTCACACTGACTGTTGTGGTTACATACTGGCCAAATTGTACCTTCTTTTCCCCCAAAGCAATTCTCCTAGTTTTTGACCAGGGGTTCTCTACTATTTCTCACTTCATGGCATACAAAATGACATTATCTGCATGATACTCTGGGGTAAAGAGAAGGTGCTTTCTCTTGAAAGCAACAGTCCATAGGTGCTGATGGCCCCAAGGTTGAAGGTGCAATGTTTCTGCATAGCTGTGACTTATCTGAGGAGCACTACTCAGGAGGCCTAGCTCAGACACATGTCACATGTGTGCTGGACTTGCTCTCATGGCCTCTGGCCCGCTCCTGACCCACCCTCAGACGGCACTGCTACCTGTACGAGGAATGCAGCACCTGGGACAGGCTCCAGAGTCCCCGGACACCTTCGGAGAGCTGCAGGCAGACTCCGGGTGCTGTCTGCCGTTTCTGGCCTTCGCCCCTCAGGGAAGCTGGCCAGACTGCCTCAGAATGCTCTCATCTGTGTGGGGATGAGTCCCAGCACAAAGAGTGTATACGAAAAGGAGCCACTGTGGGCTTTTGTTCCTCAGAAGCCCAAAATACACCACTTCTACCAGGGGATCTCTGGCTGGGCCTTGGGCTAGAAAGTGGGCTGGGTCTCACAAGGGTAGGTGAACTCAGAGACACTGGATATTACATCCAGCAAGAGGAACGCAGTAACTACGGTAACCACTGTAAGTGACACTGATAGCTGAGATGAACTGAGGTTTCTGGGCCCAAATTCAGACTTTGGCAAACTCACTGACATTCAGTGGGAAGCTGCATCACCCTTCAGAGTTTTTACTCTGACTCCATTTTTTTTTTTTTTGACTGATAATGTGATGATGCTTTTTTTCATGCATTCTAAATCGCAAAAGTTTACATACATACCCACAAGGCATTAGCAGGGAAATGAACTTACTTATCCACTAGACCTGACAGATACTTGTCTGCCACCCTCCGTATCCTCTTGTGGATATGGTTGAAGTTTACCAGCAGAAACTGGGCATGCCGCTCCAGTTCCTCCTCATTCTCCTTGGTCTTGGCCTAGAGATGCAGAAGAAAGAGGTACAGCAGCGCCCCTGTGGGCCTCCAGCAGACATGTGCTCACACTTCAAGAGACTTACTTTATCCGCCATCATGTTCAGGAAGGCATCAAAGACTTTGTCTGCAACAGCAATCACACACTGCATCATCCCTGAAACAAGAAGGTCTCCATGGGTCAGGACAGCAACAGAAACACATCAATCCTAGCTATTCTTGAATTTATTTCTTTTTTTTTGGCAGTTTTTGGCCAGGGGCCGGGTTTGAACCCCACCACCTCCACCTCCAGTATATGGGGCCAGCGCCCTACTCGCTTGAGCCACAGGCGTCACCCTATTCTCAAACTTTTTCTTTTAAACTGATTTGAGACTCAGAGTTCCCACACACCCTTCACCTAGCTTCCCTGGACATTAATGCTTGCAATTAGCAGGTTGATTTGTTGAAACAAAGAGTCAGACACTAACATATTAAACTCCAGGCTGTCTGGATTCCCCCAGTTATCGCACTCGCATCCCTCTTCTATTCCAGCACCCAGCCTGGGACGCCAGGTGGCATTTCATCATCACGTGTCCTCCTCTGGTCTGCACTGTATTTGTCTTTCATGACTTTGATGCCTTTGAAGGACATGGGCATTCTGTAAATGTCCCTCAGCTCAGGTTTGTCCAGTGCTCACAAAGGATTAGACTAGGGGTGTGGGACTTCAGAGAGAGCACCACAGAGGAAATGTGTGCTTACTGCCACAAGTATCTAGAGTGTGTGAGGTGGACCTTGACCACTGGTTTGAGTAACTACTTTTCCCTTTCCATACTTTATTCTTTAGAAGTAAATCATTAAATCCAGACCACGCTCAGGCAGAGGAATGAAATGCCACCTCCTGAAGACAATTTGTGGATGAGAGTTAAAACCATCAGAGCAACTGACAAGATGAGAATTAAAACCATCAGAGCAACTGACAAATATTTTGGAGAATTTACTTTGTTTTATAGATATCTCATTTCTCTTTAAAATTTTACTCACTATATTTTAGCATCTATGAGTAGATTCTGCCCATCGTAGCTATTGTGGTTGCCAGAGATTTTCTTTCTCCCTCATCCCTTCTATTTTTAGTAACTGCAATTCTATAAGGAAGGCTTGCTCCTCCTTCCCCACATTTTATTTATTTAATAATATAAACAACTCTGGACTTACGGGTATTCATTTATTCATAATCTAATTGCTCCAACTTTGGCCACTGGGAGCTCTTTTGGCTTGGCTCCTGTGTCCTTCCGACATGCTCCAATGCCATTTCTTTTTTCTTGTAAATCAGCCCTTTCTCCAAGAAGCCCTAATTCCTTTCATTGGCGAATGGTTCTTAGAAACCAAGATATGAGTACTGGGTGTGCTCACTGTTGCAGCAGGGCACAGCAGGTTGTAAAAAGCAACAGAACGCAGTAAGAATCACATTGCAGATGGAAGAGCTGCAATAAAGTACTGGTTCACTCTCCACAGGCTGCTCCTCTGTCACCTCTAGCCTGCCCTCCACAAGCGGGCAGGGATGCTAGGCTGAATGCTACCAGCTCTGTAGACCTGGGCCCAGCACAGAGCCTCAGACATACAGAAGCCAGCCACAGTTATCTGCACAAGGAAATGCGAGCCCTAATACAGCTCTCGGCAGTAGGAAAAGTGGCCATGTAACCTGGACAGATGTCCAAGAGTAGAGAGTGACTTTTTTTTTTTTTTTTTTTTAGACAGAGCCTCAAGCTGTCCCCCTGGGTAGAGTGTCATGGCATCACAGCTCACAGCAACCTCCAACTCCTGGGCTCAAGCGAGTCTCCTGCCTCCGCCTCCCAAGGAGCTGGACCACAGGCACCAGCTACAACGCCCGGCCATTTTTTTTTTTTTTGGTTGCAGCCGTCATTGTTGTTTTGGCGAGCCTGGGCGGGGGATTCGAACCCGCCACCTTAGGTGTATGTGGCTGGTGCCTTAGCCGGTTGAGCCACAGGCGCCAAGCCCAAGCTCAGATTCTTGAGCTCATATGATCCTCTTGCCTCAGCCTCCCGAGTAGCTGGGACTACAGGTGCCCGTGACAATGCCCAGCTATTTTTTAGAGACAGGGTCTTGCTCTGGTTCAGAGATCAGCAATCCACCTGCCTCAGCCTCCCAGAGTGCTAGCTAGGATCATAGGCATGAGCCACCGTGCATGGCCCCAGGCTTCCTTCTTCAGGAACGGCCTGCCTCCTCCCCCTGGCTTCCACCAGTCTCTCAGCTCACACTGACCCTTTCCCACTGCCAGCAGAGGGAGATTCCAGAACCCTCACATTGCTTTTCCTCACTAGCTCCTAGCTACAAAATACATTAGCGCATGTACTTCTTGACTTTGGTGTGTAGCAGTGTGAAGTGTTCAACACAGGACTTGTTGGATTAAAATCTTACATAAAAGCAGCATCTCAGAGTCCCTGGGAGTGATTTTAAAAAAATATTTCTTCAAGCACTAATTTTTCAACAAAAGAAAAAAACTGTACTGAAAGTTTCTGGAAATAATTTCTCTACTGGCAAGAACAAGTTGATAAAAATCATCAATGTGCCAAGAGCATCTGGCATAGAAAGGATTAGTAAATACTAATTTTGTTAGTCTTAAGAGTTCATCAATAAGCAGTCCTACAAAAATTTACTAGGGCGTTGGCCACATACACTGGAGCTGGCAGGTTCAAACCTAGCCCATGCCTGCCAAACAACAGTGACAACTATAACCAAAAAATAGCCCAGCATTGTGGTGGGTGCCTGTAGTCCCAGCTACTTGGGAGGCTGAGGCAAGAGAACTGCTTAAGCCCAACAGTTTGAGGTTGCTGTGAGCTGTGACACCACGGCACTCTACCAAGGGCGACATAGTGAAGCTCTGTCTCAAAAAAAAAAAAAAATTAACTCACAGTTAATCGAATTTGAGGAATCTACTAAATTCCTTTGCATATTTAAATACAATTACAAAATGGCCAGGCGCTACGGCTCATGCCTGTAATCCTAGTACTTTGGGAGGCTGAGGTGGGCGGATTATCTGAACTCACTGAATGGGAGTGAGACGCCATCTCTATGAAACAGTTGGGTATTGTGACAGGTGCCTGTAGTCCCAGCTACTCAGGAGGCTGAGGCAAGAGGATCACTTGAACCCCAGAGTCTGAAGTTACTGTGAGCTATGATGCCAGAGCACTCTACTAGGGGTGACAAAGTGAGACTTTGGCTCAAAAAAATAAATTAATTAAATAAATGCAATCATAAAATTAATCAAATTATTTTAAGCATTTAATTAAAACAGGGCTAACATTTCAGCATCTTTTAAAATTTTTTCTTTTTTTGAGACAGTCTCACTTTGTCACCCTCGGTAGAGTGCCATGGCTTCACAGCTCACAGCAACTCCAAACTTAAGTGATTCTCTTGCCTCAGTTTCCCAGTAGCTGAGACTACAGGTGCCTGCCACAACGCCTGGCTATTTTTTGCTGTAGTTGTCATTGTTGTTTTCACTGGACCAGGCCGGATTTGAACCCGCCAGCCTTGGTGTATATACCTAGCACCATAACCACTGTGCTATGGGCACCAAGCCGCTAATGGAGCATCTTTAACTGACTCCTCTGTCTACTCTGCACTGGGCACTCTGTCTACTGGGTCACTTCAGAGACCAGGCCTGAGTCTCCGAATGCTAGGGCCAGACTCTGTCCTGGACTGTATGGTTGCTTATGCAGAGAGATATGACTATGAGTGTCTCCACTTCACAAATACTTAATGGAAGAAACAAACATGTCTATTTTTATGTCTTTCTCCCAATGTACTCACTCTTCTTTTGTACTTACAACCATCTTTTTGTGCATTTTGTATTAAGCATTGCTTTTTTCAGAGTTATCATTATGAACTCAGACATTTCACAATCAGTCTGAACTTATTTCAAATAAGCAAAATAATAAAAATACTGTATTTACGTTCAGATTATGATGGTTTGTCCACTGGGTTCCTTGGTCCTCTTACCTGCTCCTGACATTACAAAGCAGGTCTACTCTCCTGCAGCAGTGGGATGCTGCAGGTGCACCAGTGACTGGGCAAGGAAACCTGGGCCCTCAAATAGGTGCGGGAGCACACTCTAGTAGACAGGGGTAGAGACCTTCCTTTTGCTTAGGGCCTTTGCACCAGTGGTAGACCAAGTAAGATAAATGTTTTAGATATGTTTTATGCTGATCTTTCCAATGAAGCATATCACTTCATAAAACCATTTCTACATGTTGACAAAAAAATAGGAAGAAAATGGGGTGGCGCCCATAGCTCAGCGGAGTGGGTAGGGCTCCACCCACATACACTAAGGATAGTGGGTTCAACCTGGTCTTGGCTAGCTAAAGTAACAATGACAACTACAACAAAAAAATAGCTGGGCATTGTGGTGGGCGCCTATAGGCCCCCACTACTAAGGAGACTGAGGCAAGAGAATTACTTAAGCCCGGCTCAGTGCCTGTGGCTCAAGCAGCTAAGGCGCCAGACACATACACCTAAGGTGGTGGGTTCGAATCCAGCCTGGACCCGCCAAACAACAATGACGGCAGCAACCAAAAATAGCCGAACATTGTGGCGGGTGCCTGTGGTCCCAGCTACTTGGGAGGCTGAGGCAGGAGACTTGCTCGAGCCCAGGAGTTGAAGGTTGCTGTGAGCTGT